AAAGGAAACAGGCTGATGGAATTTGCAGGGTCGTGGGAAGCCCCAGGCAGATTTGCCCCTAGCATTTCTAAAGGCAGATGTTACTTGGCACATTTTTGCCTGTGCTCAGGTTGGTGGCATCTAATTGCTTAAGTCATCAGTGTCCTCGGCGTATCCTTGTTTTTGATGCACAAATGGCTTCTGCTTTTCTATGAAGTGGCTGACCTGCCCATCCCTCTTATGGTGGGACCTCCCTTCTGTGAGCACCTCGGCATCCGTGGCGCGGCCGGGGTGGGGATGGGTCTCTGCCCCGCCACGCACGACTGCTTAGACACTTCCCATTGGCCAGGACACCGCGCTGCCTAGTGACATTAGTTTTAGCAAATCCAGGGTCAGTGTGACAGCCAGCAGGTGGACACACACAGCAGGGTGAGAGATGGCAGCGGCTACCGGCGGTGAGGAAGGTGGGGCTTCCCCAGCCAGACGAATCCGCTGCGGTTCTTCATGCAGCTTTCACAGAGCAGTGTGCAGCAGGACTCAGGAAGACGGGGTGAGCCCTTGAACCGTCTCCTCTCTCATCAACAGAACGGACGCTTTGCTCCTGAGACTATCGCTGGTGGTCGGCAAAGAGGTGTTTTACACCGCCCTCTGGGGGAGCGTCCTGGCCAGCCCGTCCATCCGCCTCCCTGCCTCAGTCTTCGTGGTGAACCACATCAGCAGGGACGCCCCCGGCCAGGAGCAGAAGTACATGCTGGGGGCCGATCACCAACTCACGGTGAGTGCTGTGCTCCTCACGGGGCATGGGGAGGGGGCGACACGTGGGCACAGCACCCTCATGGGCAGGTTGTCACTGAAGCTACAAAGGGACATCTAGGAAAGGAAGTGCACCACACTTGAGTCTGGGTAACAAATGGCTGAGCAAGGCGAGAAGGAGGCCTCGTACAGCTGAGGATGGTGGTGGCTTTTTTAACATACGCATTAAGTTTTTGTTGTTGTTGTTTTGTTTTTTTGTTTTGAGACAGAGTCTCGCTCTGTCGCCCAGGCTGGGGTGCAGTGGCATAACCTCGACTCGCTACAACCTTCACCTCTCAGGTTCAAGCAATTCTCCTCTCTCAGCCTCCCGAGTAGCTGAGATTACAGGCACCTGCCACCATGCCCGGCTAATTTTTGTGTTTTTAGTAGAGATGGGGTTTCACCATGTTGGCCAGGATGGTCTTGAACTGCCTGCCTGGTGGCTGATCCACCCACCGTGGCCTCCCAAAGTGGCATTAAGATTTATACATTCAAATAAGTGTTCACACCCTCAGAGGTCCCTTCTGGAGGCCCCCGGCTTTGCAGAAATGTGCTTAGCTGCACACGGCGCTCAGAAGGCCTCTGCACGCACAGGGTCTGCTGCATTTTCGGGTCTTTGTTTCCTTCCCCTGTCCTGTGTCACGGGGGCCACTGCCCACTCACATGTGGCAACCACCTCCTCCCTTGGCATCCTCCCCCTGCTCTCCTGTCTCCGTTGACTGCTTTCAAATCTAAATTATCGGGGTTCATCAGGTATCCATCTCTAGGCCCTTCAAGGGAAGCTTTCTTCCTTGGTAATGACATCCCTTCTGGTGCCCTTAGAAATGCTAACCTCCCAGATCCTTGTCTCTTTTCCCCAAACCTGCCTCTTGTGTTTTTATGGCTTGCTGTCTTTCGCTACCTGGTGGTGTTCCCACACTTTGATCTTAAAGTGTTTAGATTGAATTCGCAGGTGAGAAGGTCTGCAGCTGGGTGTAAATTACCCCTCTGAGTCCATTTCTCATTGCACAATGGGGGTTGTAGACCTGCCTGACAGGGTCTCTCTGAGGACAAGGTGGAAAAATGGATGAAAAGCACCTCGCACAATGATCAGGACACAGGAGATCCCAATGAACACGTCCCTTTCCTGCCCTGTCAGTATCCCCTTTGTCTCTTTCTCTCCATCGGCCTTGCTCTGGCTTATCTCTTACTCTTGGATCTGACTGGTTTATCCTCATCCTACTCTCGCCCCATCTAGTCCTTATCAACTGCTAAGAGATTTGGTTCTCCAAAGCCTAACTTTGCTCATATGTATCCTGTGCTTTAAAAATGTTTGACTTCCCGGCTGGGTGTGGTGACTCATGCCTGTAATCTCAGCACTTCGGGAGCCTGAGGCAGGTCAATCACCTGAGGTCAGGAGGTCAGCAGCAGCCGTGCCAACATGGTGAAACCCCACATTTATTAAAAATACAAAAATTAACCTGGGCGCAGTGGCTCACGCCTGTAATCCCAGCACTTTGGGAGGCTGAGGCGGGCGGATCACCTTAGGCCAAGAGTTCAAGACCAGCCTGGCCAACATGGTGAAACCCCGTCTC